ATATATATATATATATATATATATATATATATATATATATATATATATATATATATATATATATATATATATATATATATATATATATATATATATATATATATATATATATATATATATATATATATATATATATATATATATCTACTTTTTCAGTCTGAGCTCATCACATTTAAAGATTAATAACCACGCATACTTTTCTCCCCCCTAAAAAATGCAAGCGTGTACATCCATATTTCTCACATATTATTGTAGCACAGTTTGTGGTGAAAACAAGTTGATATTATATTAAATTTAATGAAAACAAAATACAAGTTGGCCAGGACTATCTAATAAGTAGCTAAAATAACACATGTCAGGGCATGTCAAAAAATCTTAAGGGTCCTAAAATCACCTCAGACCCCAGAAGGTTAATGGTTTATTAATAGCAAGAATTGTAGCTTAAATAAATTCTAAGCACAGGTAATTTAAAGTGTTAATCTATTTAATAAAACATGTTAAATCAAATACATATTTACCATTTTGCACGCAAAAAAAAAAAAAAAAAAGAAACCTGTATGCATGTTTAATGTGCAGATGTGCATCATTTTTGATTGCTAGTTGCATTCATTTTAGAAACAAAAGTAAATATGATGGCTAAAAATAATGTAAATGCATGGATAATGCATGGATAAAAGTAGATCTGCAAATAATGTCAGAAAAGAATCTTATATGCAACAGTTAGACTTTAATTAAAGCCAAAACAAGGATCATTTTAACGTCAACAATACTTACAAACAATTGGCTAAAAAATGACAATAACAATGGCCTTAAATAATCAGGTAATATTTCAGATACCAGTCCAAATTACTTGCAACTTGCAAAAGTCAGTTAGCATGCCATCTTAAATTATTAAACTAATAACAATTAACAATAATTAAATTTAAATAATTAAATTGTGCTGATTTTAAGGAGTTCTGGAAAGACAAATGCAGACAAGTTGGCAGTTTTGAAACGCACAAAGCTGATAAATACTCACACTTTAACTAGTGGTTAAACTGAATCTTCGAAATACGGATGTACTGTAAATGGTGTGAACGTATATGCATGAAGCAATGAATACTTGCAATGCATTTTGACTAGTGTAAGACCAAACACCAGATGCACATTTTGCAAACTGCAATTTTTCCAACCAAACAGTAATAGTTTTAAATGCATTTAAGTATTTTGCATTAAACTAATTCAACAGTGATATATTCATTTAATTTCTCCTTAACAGTGGTTCCTCCTGTTGATCCCTGCACCAGTTACCATGCCCTGGATAACCCGTGGAGAGCCACCAGTAATCAATATTCCTTTGAAATAATGTGCGACTGTGAGGTTAACTGGGACGGCTGGTACCGTCTCTTCATTAATGGTCAGAGTGTTCAGATGCCAGACACATGTGTTGATGAGCACAGTTGCGGCACTCATGCTCCACTGTGGCTGAGCGGAGGACATCCAACACTTGAGGATGGAGTGGTCTCTCGAGATGTCTGCGGTCAATGGAGCAACAACTGCTGCTATTTCCAGTCCAATCCCATTCAAGTCAAAGCCTGTCCTGGAGGTTTTTATGTCTATGAGTTTGTGAAACCAGAGTTCTGCTCTTTGGCATATTGTGCAGGTAAATAAATATACTTACATTTCCCTTTCCTTTATGTTAATCATAATCATTCCAGTATATAAAATGTAGCCATGATTTTTTTTTTCTCCCAGATGTAAGGAACATAAACACTACATATACTACTGCCAATCCAAACACTATGTTTACCACAGAAACAACAACCATGGACATAATAACTGGTAATGTATTATGTTGGAAGATGCTTTCTGTGTGATTTATTTCTTCTTAAATAATTAAGGCTGCATAAAGCAAGTGTGAAATGTTAAAGGTATTGATTTTGGCATGCAGGGCTTGTACATTATACCATTCAAAGTTATGTTGTGCACACTCTTACTGCCACCTGGTGGAGGATAAAGGTGTTTGTTGTACTCTTAAACAGGACTGTAAATACTAATGTTACCACAAAACCAACCATAAGGGCTAGTTTTTTTGGAAACCGAGTTTTATAAAACAATGCAAAGCTTTTGAAAAATAAAAAATAAAAATTACATCACATACAAACCACATTTAAAGTTCTTAGCAATGCATATTACAAATTAAAAATGATTCATTCATTTATTTGTCGGCTTAGTCCCTTTATTAATCTGGGGTCGCCACAGTAGAATGAACCACTAACTTATCCAGCAAGTTTTTACGCAGCGGATCCCCTTTCAGCCACAACCCATCTCTGGGAAACATCCACACACACATTCACACACACACTCATACACTATGGACAATTTAGCCTACCCAATTCACCTGTACCGCATGTCTTTGGACTGTGGGGGAAACCGGAGCACCCGGAGGAAACCCACGCGAAGGCAGGGAGAACATGCAAACTCCACACAGAAACACCAACTGAGCCAAGGCTCGAACCAGCGACCTTCTTGCTGTGAGGCGACAGCACTACCTACTGCGCCACTGCCTCGCCTAAATCAAAAATTAAGTATTGATATATACGGTTGTAAATTCATAAAATATAATCATGAAAAGTCATATTTATTCATATTTTGATTTGAATTATGTGTACTTGGCTATTCCAACAAATAGATCTGTGCTATATAAGATAAAAACAAGAAATGTTACAAAAATATTGAGTCTCTCTCTTTTTCACAAACAGAATACGCCACTTCAGAAACAACACCAATAGAAAGCCAAGTGACAGAAAGCACCACAACTGGAGAAAGTGTGACAGTCAGTCAAGCTGCAACAGGTGAAAAGGCGATCACAGGTGCCACAACAACAAAAAGTGCCACTATGGACATGACAGCAAGCGAAAATATGACAACAATGACTACAACTTCAGAATCTACAACAACAACAGCACAAAGAACAGGTACATTTTAACAGAATGCATTTCTTTAATATAAACATACTGTACATGAGACCTCTCATCAACAGTGTTGGGGAGGTTACTTTGGAAATGTAATAGATTACAGATTACAAATTACCCTATTTAAAATGTAATAAGCAGTGTGCCTTTTCAATTACTTTATGAAAGTAAATTAATTGATTACATTAGACTACTTTCTGATTACCTTACAGTAGCTCAGTTCACTGCTAGAATTTCAAAATCTCTCATCATTTGAATTGAGATTATATGAATTTAATTTTAATGTACAGCCACCACAAAACCAGTCCGTATAACAAAAAAAATGTTTACAGTTGTTACAAAATCTAAATTTGAGTTAGTTGTATAACACATCTAAGATATTTTTGCAATTTTCATTTTTAAATCAAAGCAACTTAAATCCAAGTCAATCATATCTTAGTGATCAATAAAACTGCCAATGAAACATATGAGGCAGAGCTGTTCAGTTCACATATATACTGTAAATAATATGCTGTATCAAACTGAAACAACTAGCCACAACTAGCTTTTCACTGGCCACACTTGTTTTGTTGGGAAATATATTTTAAATGCATAAATTTGACTTTGACATGCTAAGATGACTTGATTTAGATGTTGTGTTATGTCCAAATGCCTCCTCATTCATTTAACTTCTTGTGTGTATTGTGTATTAGCTTGCTTGATTAGGGTTGTCGCAATGCAATCAGTTTTTATTTCACATGACTTTTTACGGATCAAAATTAAAGATTTAGCAAATTAATCTCTGACCACACCAAATAAGTATTTCTTAGCCACAATTTTTTTTAATGTGTCAAAACTATAGCTGTATAGGTGCACTTTTTAATTCAACAAAACTTTTCTTTAAAAAAACATAAAAAATAAATAAATAAATAAAAAGTATTGTCATGTAAAATATGCACAGTGATCGGTCCTGGCTAAAAGTCCCAGATCAGCAGTTAACTACACATAATAAACGGGGAGTAATCTCCCATTAAAGCAATGTTATTGTTAAAAATATAATTAAAACATATTAACTAAGATAACTAAGCAAAAGAAAGCAGGTAAAACATACTTGTGTGATTGTGTGATAATGAAAGGATGATCACATGCACACAGTTAATATAGACCTGTTAATCTGTTCAAAGAATAATTTAAATGAAAGCAGAGACCGCTGCTGCTTACTAAAGAATATATTTATTTTTTATTTTTTTAATCTTGAGCTATCGAAAGCAGTAGGGCTGTGAGTGCACAATCATCGCTCTTTGTCCAGTACATTTCAAAGGAAACAGATCGCACCAGTTCCTCTAGGCACAGGATTCGCGCAAGTAAACAAGAGCACATGTGCTTTTTAACAGTCGCGTGCATCACATCACCTGTGCGTGCGAGGGATCATCTTCTCGTTCGGTATTTACCTTCTTTTTTGCTGTTTTGCTCGCGCGAGCGCAGTTATTTTTGTTAGTCGTGTTGCTTCTCGATTCTAAGATCCCATTTGCATGATATTGGGCCAAGCTTATAGTCGAAGCCTGCTTTTAGGAAAAGACAACTTAAAAATGGTTTCCAACCAGCCAAAGTGGCTAGTGGAGCTGTCTGTCTAACCCGCCAGAGCTGAAAAATACTTGCAGTTGGCGGGTGTTAATGTAAAGCCCTGAATACATTATATATATATATATATATA